CCTATCATGCCAAATTTTGTTAACAGGTTCTTTGTGTATGCCTCCTGTTTGATAAAGATGCCTTCTGGACCCTGTCTAATATTTAAACCAAGGAAAAAACTAATTGGACCCATTACACTCATTTCAAATTTAGTCTCCATCAACTTTCTGAATTCAGCCATTAAGCCAGGATTCGTAGAGCCGAAGATGATATCATCAACATAAATTTGAACTGTCATTAGATGTTTGCCTTTCTTTCTTTCGGAAGAAGGTAGGGTCAACCGAACCTTGCTTAAATTCTGACATTTTTAGAAAATGAGTGAGGGTTTCATACTAGGCTCTCGGTCCTTGCTTCAAACCATAAACCGCTTTATCCATCACATAGCAATGATCAGACTATTTCTCATTTACAAACCCGGGAGGTTGCTCAACATACACTATTTCTTCTAGTTCTCCATTCAAGAAAGCACATTTGACATCCATTTGGAAAACTTCAAAGTTTTTATAGGCAGCATATGCTAGGAATATTCTGACTGATTCTAACCTTGCTACTGGAGCGAAGGTTTCCTCATAATCTATCCTTTCCTCTTGACAATATCCTTTTACCACCAACCGAGCCTTGTTGCGAATGACGTTCCACTCTTTGTCAGGGCTAGTCAATTTAGAGACGATAGGCGTCAAAAAAATGAATTTTTGATGAAAGATTATTTAGAATCGTGCATATAAAGAACGCCGAAATCCGAGTTATAACGAAGAAGTTATGACATGTCGAAGTTTCGCGACAGAACCGGCACAACACAGCGCGACGTAAATAGTGAATTTACGTTAGAGCGATATTTAGCCTTACCAATCTAAACGAAAATCGTAGAGTTTTGATATGTGTATTTTTATATATATATTTATGCACTTTATCTTAATATTTTGGCCTTATTTATTCTATTTTAGAACTAAAAAGTACTCATAATGCTTTGAATTATGTTTTGCAGCTATTCGTTGTCGATAAAGCACAAAAGAAAAGACTGAAGCGGAAACCGGACTTCAAAGCTTAAAGGAATTAAATTGCTGAATTAGAGGATTACGCCCCACGTACAGACTTGCACCGGATAGACTTGATCGCAAGTAAATCTTGAGTACGCGCCGCGTAAACCTAAGTACGCCCAGCGTACTTAGGTCGGCTACAAAGACTATAAATGTCGATTTTCAGCTAACCAGGAGAGGGGATTCGACTTCTAACCTAATTTAGTCGACAATTAACTTCTGTTAAGCCGTTTTGAGGGTCTAGAAGGCGGCAGGAAGGCCGTTAAGCTAACGGGAGCGGAGATCGGAAGGATTGGAGAGCGGATACATGTCGGTAATCATATGGATTGCTAACGTGACCATGTTTAGCATTCCATTGTGGTACTTTTCTGTATTTAGTTTCTGATTTGGGTGTAAAAACCTTTTACTTTGTGTTTATGATTGAATGAAGCTTTGATTATTAGACTAATTGCTATATTAAATAGTATATTTGTGTTTAATTTATCTTGCCAAGCTTGTTGAAAGATCCTCATGTGTTAATGATGATTATTTTTTGTTAATTGTTAAGTGAATTGAGTTGTATGAACATCTGCTTGATTTGCTTGTCTCTTATGATTTTTGATGACCATCGAGATTATAAGACTAGAAATAACGAATGTGAAACTAGGATTAATTTGAGAATAAGTAAGTTAATGTGTGAGCCTTGTTTGATGACCATCAACAAGAGGTTAATTAAATGTTAAATTGATTAACTATATTTACAAGTCTTGCTCGATACGAACTGAACACTAGGAAGCATGTTAGTTTAATCAACTGATCACTGTTTGAATTGACTTGCTTGCTAAAGGATTAGTTATAGTGAACGCAAATCTAATCATTTTAGGAATCGGTGAATATGAATAAATGAATTTGTGTATGCAATTGTCTATGTTTTTAAAGTGTAATTTGTCTAAACCAAAGTACCTGAAGAGATTCGTTTCCCTGTTAGTTTATCGAGAATGGTTAATTAATTGTTAGTTTGAGAATTATTTCTTTTATTCTTTTTGTGTAACCTGTAACCTATAATTAAATATATTAAATTAATCCACCGTTCCCTGTGATCGACACCCAACTTACCTAAGCTATACTGTAATCTGACTAGGTACACTGCCTATAAGTGCATAGTTAGTCTAAGTTTGTTAGGTTATAAATATTAAAATTAATGGGTACTTTTGTGCACATCAAGTTTTTGGCGCCGTTGCCGGGGAACGGTTTGTCATTAATTTAGTTTATTTGATTATTCGTTATTTGTTTTTAGTTAGTTTTTATTTTTAGTTTGATTTTCGATGATATCATTTCACTTGTCGGGAAGGTTCTTGTTTTTATTTTGCAGGAATTTGGGATTGTACACATTGCTCGACTTTACTTTTTGCATGGGTTTCGAGAATGAAAGCGATTAGGGAATTCTTGACCTGCTTAGCCTACTACTTTCTTGATTTGTCCAACTCAATCCATGAGGCGTAGTATAGCAAGGCGTATTGTGGTGGTTAAGTGGAAGACTGAGCTCTTGCTGTTCTTGACTAGTTAGGTCACTTCTTGTTCCACTTCTAGTTAAAGGTGCAAGGAAAACAAAGGAAATATTCTAACGGATCCCGAAAGTGGGTGTTTTCGCAAACCAATTCTTGCATGCAAAGGTTTTTGATCAACCATTGTTGTTTGATCTTGACAAAGATAAGTGATTATGACATCTCAATTTTTTTTATCACTCATCGTGAATTCATCATTAGCTAAAGAAATTAAAAAGAAGAAAAATAAATAAATAAATAAATAAATATGTTTTAAGTCCCTTAATTAAATAATTACAAAGAAAAGGAAGTTAAATCAAAGGGTAGGAAAAATTTGAAAAATATACAAATTACGCCCCGCGTAAGTTTAATTACGCCATGCGTAATGTGCCTCGGATCGCGAATGAACATTTCAGGGGGTTGAGGTACGCCCCGCGTACCCTTGTGTTACGCCCCGCGTACATAAGTGACCAGGTAAATATCTCTTGACTCTTTGACTTCACTGTTATTTTCAAACCCCTCCTTTCTCGCATACGCTGTGACGGAAGAAGCCTCCTAAAGATCCTAAATTTTTTTCCGTTTCTTGTTAAATCCAACACACAAGTAAGTATTTCGGATACTCAATAGCTTGGGTATTCTGGTTGTAGATCCAATACTGTTTTAGATGTTGATTGGATTTGTTTGCAAATCTTCGTGAGACATGGTGAGCTCCTAGAATCAAACCTGTAAACTTGAGATTATGGTTTTATCTAAAACAGAGTTTCCGTTAATATGAGGAAGACGGCTTCTATTTATACGATAAAAGCGGAAACCCTAATAGAATTCTGATTACAGAAGGAATGTGTATTGATTACACAGTCTCCTGCTCTGATACCAAATGCTAGAACTCAGTTCAATCAGGATCGTTTGATTCTATGCATGCAAACAATTAAGAACGTAAATATAAACACGAATATGGCTTTGAATATGTCGTATGATTAATACTTCAACGCCTCAGAAGAGCTCGACTAAGAACTTCAACTGTAGAGGCGTTTAGGGTTACAAAGATTAAACGTAATAAAAGTCATAGGAATACAATGCATACATGCATGCATATATATATATATATATATATATATATATATATATATATATATATATATAGTATAACCCTACTTAGATAATCACGGATGGACAGGCCCAATCTGGATACAATACAAAAAGCCCATGACGCAACACAAATAAACTCTACACTAATGTTCTTAAATTCAATTAATTACATCAAATCTACTTGAAAACAAAACCCAATAGCTTTAATGCCACTGATGGGTTTTGAACATAGCAAACAATCATATGTGTGCATGCAACCCTAAATGTTGGATCTATGTTTTCTCTATTAGACATACAAGCATTGAACACAAAAACCAAAAACCCTAGCATGCTTCTACTATTTTCGAAATCAACAAAACAGGGATTAGAACACATAAATTTATTGTTATATTGTAATAATAATGGATTCCTTGAAGATCTCTTCCTTTGAGAACAAGTGTCGCAAGGGTAACACCTCTAATGGCTCACAAACACACTATGCAAGAGCATGAGAGGAGAGATGAAGGAAGTTGCTCCAAGTTTCGGCTCTTCTAGGGTTTCATAAGCATGTCCGAAACTTAGAGGGGTGAGGCTCTTTTTATAGTTAGGTTTCTTAGTCCCAAAACCAGGTTTTACAGTTGAAAACGAACCATTCTCGTTTTTTTGATTTGGATTGGTGTTATGTACACCATCTTTCCTCAAGCTATCACAAGAATTGGATGGTGGGTATGGAGAAGCCAATTTAGGGATGATGGATAAATCTTGGTCTTAGTGTTGGGTGATTGTTTGTAGATGGTAGTTTGCTATTAGATTTTATAGTGGATCATAGTGGTGGTGGTCGGAGGTTAGTGTTGATGGTGGCAGAAAGTTAATGGAGGTGGTAGTCGAATGTGGTTTCCTGACACTAAAAACAAAGAACGGAAAGGATGGGGTGGATTGGTTTGGTTTCTAAATTAAAAGGACCATTTATTTAATTAATACATTTTGAATATATTTAATTAATATTTTTCTAATTAATATTATCGACATTCGATCTTCTCTCAAAACCTTCGCTCGTCTAGTTGTCTCCAGTGCAATGGCTGACGTGGCATCATAACAGCCATCGGTTTAGATGACCACCTGACGGTTACCACCGTTTTCCAACTAACTCTCGGGCTGCCAAACCTAAACCTGTTGGGCAACTTCATAAGTCGTGTATTTAAACACTTTCATCTCCCACATACAACCCCAAAAAATTATAGCTTTAACAGCTTCATAATTTCCTACCAAATTTTTTCTTTCAATATTTTATCAACAAAATTTCAACCTCTTTCCACAAATTATTTCTGAGTTTTGCAAAATAAAAAAATAAAAAAATAAAAAATAATAAAAAAAAAAAAAAGACAAAAAGACATGGAGCGTTCCAACAGACATACCACGAATGGGAATTTATACATGAATGATCATTTGAATTGGGGTGCTGCGGCAGCAGCGTTAAGCGGGAGCCACCTGGATGAAGTGAAGAAAATGGTGGAGGAGTATCAGGATCCAGTGGTGAAATTGGGTGGCGCAAGACTGACTATTGCTCAGGTAGCAGCTTTAGCCACTAGCCATGCGAACGTCGTTCAGGTGGAGTTGTCGGAATCTGTTCGTGATGGAGTTACAACGAGCAGTGATTGGGTGATGAAAAGCATGTTGAAAGGTGGTGATACATATGGAGTCACCATCGGTTTTGGTGCCACCTCTCATCGGAGAACCAAGCAATGTGGTGCTCTTCAATAGGAGCTCATTAGGTATAATTTTTAAAGATCATTACAACATAAAATGCATTCACATATTTTTCCGTTTTCTTTCCTAGTTTTTTAGACACTAGACGTAATTATTTACACAAAATTTCGATGTTTTTAAGACGTATTCTAGACATGCTTGCAACATAGTTTTCATATATCGATTTTTTTGTTTCTTTACTTGATACACCAATTATTATTATTATTATTATTATTATTATTATTATTATTATTATTATTATTATTATTATTATTATATATATATATATATATATATATATATATATATATATATTAAACTTATCATTTGTTTTGGCAGAATTGGTCCTTGCACTTTGCTCCTCATTCTTTATCTATTTTTACACTTTTTAGGAGCATTTTGATCCATTTTCTCAAAAATTAACGGTTTGTCAACTTTTGGTCCTTGCAATCAAGTAAGTCGTTGACACTTTAGGAACATTTTGATCCCTTTTGGCCACAAAACTTTAATGGTTTGACAACTTTGATCCATTTTCTAAAATTTTACTAATTCCTACCCTTCTAATTTTTTAGCCGTTTTAATACTTCTGATCCTTGCAATTTAAACTTTTACATTTTTTCATAAAAACATGAAAAAAAACGGTTTGAAGCAAAGCTCGAGCTTTTCATCATTGTACTTTCTACGTCTGTTATATTTATTGATTCGGAAACAACATTGAAAGCTTCTGGCCCCCGCATAACGGGGGTAACCCTTCTAATTATTATTATTATCTGAAAAGCATCTATATCTTTTCTTTCTATACTAATAAAACTTGTCATTTTTTCATAATTATATATATTTTTAAATGCTCTATAAAAATGATACTCATCATTTTCTTATTATTTTTTATTTTTAAAAAAATATTGATGTTAATAATAAGTTATATAATTATTTATTTAATTCCTGATTTTTATAAAAATTTTAAATTCGTCTTGAATAATTTTCGTTTATGACTGTCCATAATTAATTGTATTTTTATATTGAAAATCATACAGAATCACGTTTAATTAATAATTTATTGAAAACATTTGATTAATAATTATAAATTTACTATAAAAATTTAATTATTTTTATAACAATGGTTTCCAAAAGCTATAACCTAATATATTAATAATTTAGAAAATTCAAGGTTTTAAGTTGAAATGCGTGCATTTATGTCGCCTATGTTTTTATCGTCCCTTTTGTCATATAGTTTTTGGATTTCTCTGTTGGTTTAAATTATATGCTTTACGAAATTAAACAAGATTTATTATATATATGAAAAATGAGTTCGTGGTCGCCCACATGATAGAGAGAAAGGGCTCGTAATTAATATTTTTCTAATTAATTAATAATAATATAATGAGGAAAGAAATAGTAAGGACAAATCAACCATTTTATATGGATTAGGACATAAGACTTCCAAATGAAAAACTAAAACTAAAAACCAATCACAAATTACACCAAAGTATAGGGACAATTTGTATACTTTGTCCTAATAATATTAGGCCTGCCAAACCTAAATTTGTTGTACAACTTCATAAGCCGTGTATTTAAACACTTTCATCTCCTACATACAATCCCGGAAAATTATAGCTATCTCCCACATACAATCCCGGAAAATTATAGCTTTAACTTCATAATTTCCTACAAAAAAATTTTCTTTCAATATTTTATCAACAAAATTTCAACCTCTTTCCACAATATATTTCTGGGTTTTGCAAAAAAGTCAAAAAGAAATGGAGCGTTCCAATGGACATACCACAAATGAGAGTTTATACGTGAACGATCCTTTGAATTGGGGTGTTGCGGCAGCAGCGTTAAGCGGGAGCCACCTGGATGAAGTGAAGAAAATGGTGGAGGAGTATCGGAATCCGGTGGTGAAATTAGGTGGCTCAACACTAACTATTGCTCAAGTAGCAGCTGTAGCCACTAGCCATGCGAACGACGTTCAGGTGGAGTTGTCGGAATCTGCTCGTGATGGAGTTACAGCTAGCAGTGATTGGGTGATGAACAACATATTGAAAGGTGGTGATACCTATGGAGTCACCACCGGTTTTGGTGCCACCTCTCATCGGAGAACCAAGGAAGGTGGTGCTCTTCAACACGAGCTCATTAGGTAAAAATTTTAAAGATCATTACAACATAAAATGCATTCAGTTATTTTCGATTTTCTTACCTAGTTTTTAAAGTGACAATAGACGTAATTATTTACACAAAATTTCGATGTTTTTAAGACGTATTCTAGACATGTTTGCAACATAGTTTTCATACATCGATTATTTTGTTTCTTTCATAACTGTCTTCTGCACATGACTGGGGTTTTAACTTGAGTTACCTACGGGAGCAGCTTACCAAGTTAAGCAATCATGAGGTGGTTATTAGATTACTATATGACACTAAAATTACAAATAAAAATAAAAAAAAATAAAAAAAAAAAAAACATTTAGAATATTGAATAGATAACTTATGATTTCAAGAAAAATCTGCTAATATAGAGTATAACCCTTAAATCGCTTTTAGCTGAGAATGTTACTATTGCCGTTACATGTTTATAAAAATATTATAACATGAATCTTTTATTAGTTTATAAAGTGATTTTCTGTTCCGATAGGCATTCGGCAGATATGCTTTATCCTATAGACTATGGAAACAAGTTTTATTCTCATGGTTAAGATTGTCGATAAACAATATTAGTGTGAAAATAAGGATCAAAAGCGATATTAATTACTAGATAAAATATTAAAACAAAAAAACTTAGTATAACCCGGAGGTGCACAAATATTAATTTTCTTTAAATTAGTTGATTTTTGCAAATTGTTTGGCAAATACTTTAGTCTACAGTGTCTATTTACTATCGCTTTAGTTTGGAACGGCTTTGCAAACAGTATTTTTTAGAACTGACGAAAAAACAGGACTTATTCTTTTGGGAACCATTTCGGTAATAATCGAATTGACCTAGTTTTTTTAATTAAAAAAACCGTTATTTTAACGCAATTTTACTTCCAAAATAACCGAACTAATTATAACCGAAATGGTCTTAAAGAATACACACCCAAAATCAGTTCAAAAACTAGTGCACCTCCGATAATATTAGGAGTTATAAAAGTAAACGATTTTTAAGGTTAAAAACTCATTTTAAAATATGTATTATAAGTTTGGTTAGATGTCCGAAAAAACGATAAAATTTTGGAATTTTATTTAAAATATAATATAATCTTAATTGGTCATAAAAAAATTATCTAACATATATATATATATATATATATATATATATATATATATATATATATATATATATATATATATATTATATATATATATATATATATATATATATATATATATAGGGTTAGGTTCATGTGAGACGGCCTAATTTTGTGAGACCGTGAAACACATTTTTTTATTTATTTTTTATTTTTTTTAATTTTTTTTAGTTAATTCAAGTTCCGAAAATAATATTTAAAATTTTTTTTTTTTGATTTTTCCATTTATTTTGCATTTTAAAATTATTTTTAGAATATGTACAGTGTAATATTCTATTTAGAATATTTCACGTATTTTAAAAAAAAATAGAATTTTTTTTATTTTTTTTTATTTTTTTTAGTTAATTCAAGTTCCGAAAATAATATTTAAATTTTTTTTTTTAGATTTTTCCATTTATTTTGCATTTTAAAATTATTTTTTAAAATATGTCAGTGTAATATTCTATTTAGAATATTTCACGTATTTTTTTAAAAAAAAAAACGGGATTTTTTTTTATTTTTTTTTAGTTTTTATTTTTTATTTTTTTTAGTTAATTCAAGTTCCAAAAATAATATTTAAAAAAAAAAAAGAATTTTTGGTTTTTTTCCATTTATTTTGCATTTTTAAATTATTTTTAGATTTGGTCTCACGGTCTCACAAAATTAGAATGGTCTCAAATGAACCTGAACCTATATATATATATATATATATATATATATATATATATATATATATATATATATATATATATATATAATATATATATATATATATATATATATATATATATATGTAACTAAAAAAAATATAAAATATTCTAACTAAAAAACTATATATAATTATTTAAATATTATTTTCGGAACTTGAATTAACTAAAAAAATATATAAAAAAAAATTAAAAAAAAAATAAAAAAAATTCCGTTTTTTTTTTTAATACGTAAAATATTCTAAATAGAATATTACACTGACATATTCTAAAAAATAATTTTAAAATGAAAAATAAATGGAAAAATCTAAAAATTCTTTTTTTAAATATTATTTTCGGAACTTGAATTAACTAAAAAAATAAAAAAATAAAAAAAAAACTCTATTTTTTTTAGATATGAGAAATATTCTAATACAATATTACATTGTACATATTCTAAAAATAATTTTAAAATGCAAAATAAATGGAAAAATCAAAAAAATTCTTTTTTTAAATATTATTTTTGGAACTTGAATTAACTAGAAAAAATAAAAAAAAAATTAAAAATTAAAAAATGCGTCTCATGGTCTCACAAAATTAGGTCATCTCACATGAACGTAACCCTATATATATATATATATATATATATATATATATATATATATATATATATATATATATATATATATATATATATATATATATATATATATATATATATATAGCTTCAGGTTCATTTGAGACCATTCTAATTTTGTGAGACCGTGAGACCAAATCTAAAAATAATTTTAAAATGCAAAATAAATGGAAAAATCTAAAAATTCTTTTTTTAAATATTATTTTCGGAACTTGAATTAACTAAAAAAAATATAAAAAAAAAATTTCGTTTTTTTTTTAAAAATACGTGAAATATTCTAAATAGAATATTACACTGACATATTCTAAAAAATAATTTTAAAATGCAAAATAATTGGAAAAATCTAAAAATTCTTTTTTTAAATATTATTTTCGGAACTTGAATTAAATAAAATAAATAAAAAATAAATAAATAAAATTCTATTTTTTTTGAAAAATACGTAAAGTATTCTAAATAGAATATTACACTGTACATATTCTAAAAATAATTTTAAAATGCAAAATAAATGAAAAAATCAAAAAAAAATCTTTTTTTAAATATTATTTTCGAAACATGAATTTACTAAAATAGAATTGCTATATGAACCTGCAAAACATGCAATATATATTCTTCTTTCTCATAGTGAGTTATATATTCTAATCTATTTCTTGTTAAGAGATTTTTCCTTTAACTCTTTCTTTTCTCTTCTTTCTCATACTTTATGATATAGTCTTTTATTCTCATAGTATACTTTACTATTCTTTCTCATCACATCTGTCTCTTTTAATATTTTTCTCATGCATTTTCATTGTATTTATATCTTACTTTATCTTATACTCTTATTGTCTAATCTTTACTCTTCATCTCATACTCTGTATTAGCTTCTTTACATAATCATGTCATACTCTCTCTTAGCCTCTTGTCAGGCTCATCTCATAGTATATATATTCTACTTAAAATATATATATGCATTCTATTCTCATATTCTTACTCTATTCTTCACACATCTGTTACTCTCAGTATGTTTGTCTCATACTCTATTCAAACTCCATCTCTCTATTCTCAACTTGAACTAACAGTCCCATTTCATGTTACAATCTCATCTATCTTATAAGGGAAATAAGATCCAATTAACATTACCCGGTGTACTCATTCGGGCTTACTCCTATCTCTTATGATCCCTCGTGGATCCTTAATCATTATTATTTTTATTTTGAATAGCTCATGGATTTTATATACTCTTAATGTTTCACGGAGTACATCTAAGTTCTTAAAAGAACTACATTTTCTTGTTCCACTCATGAAACCTTTCATTTATCTTCTTTAACAATACAATTTTATTTCCACAAGAATCATGCTCTTATTCCCATAGAAATCATAATCTCATTTCTGAATGAAAATAATCTCATTCCTAAAAGAATAATCTTTCTACTATTCTCTTATTCTTTATTTACACATGTTCCATGGACATTTTATCCCTTTATCTCATCAAGAGATCTTTTATACTCATCTAGTATTTAACTCATTAAGTTCTTAATATAATTCTTCTTATATCTCGTAGGTATTCGACGCAATACCATTTACATTTACATAGGTATACATACTTTGTTATTTGGTTATAGTTCATCTCATGCTATTTCTATTTCTACCATCTTTTGGGTATTGACAAATACCTTTCTCGTCTAACCATACATACATACTCTCGGTTTACATACATGCTCTACTATATGTTTCTAAATGTATACCTCATACATACTGTAAATATACGTACATATTTAGATACATGCTTTTAAATGTATATTTTTAATCTATCTTCATCTAATAACTTAAGGTCATTCACTAGTGTCTCAAGATCAACATATACGCATATGTGTGTGTGTGTGTGTATATATATATATATATATATATATATATATATATATATATATATAGAGAGAGAGAGAGAGAAAGAAAGAGAGAAACATAAACATACATACACAAAAAATCTAGTGAGGCTGAATAATAACTCACCTTGTTAATTACTGAAGACTAACTACTCTTTCGCTCCATTCTCCTATTGATGCATCTTTATAAATCTTCATTGCTCAAGACCTATTCATGCAATATGTCAAGTCCCTTAGAACATGTCTTCGCCTATTCAGAGCTTAACGACCTTCTTATATCAAAATGGTTAATTAATGGATCATAATTCTAACTTCACAATTTCTACTTCTAAATCTAATTCATGCATTGAATTAAGCATCCCATACTACCTAATTCATTACCCTCTGATCACTAATGTATTAATCATAATCCTTACTAGATAGGGTTTCAAAACCTAACTCTCATCGGATTGATTTCACTATAGAAATCACTTACAAAGCTTGATTAAAGAGTCTAAACACTCTCAATAATATCATAATCAAGATATAGTTCGACCCATTCAACCATTCTGATCAAACTAAACATTTCACCAAAATGGAGAAATCTTACATTAATGGAGAGATGATGAAAATCATTGTTAGATTCCATCTCTTGCTTCTTTTAGCCTTCTTCTGACTCTAAAATCGCCTTCATTAGCTCCCAATCGAGTTTGGTGAAATAGGTTTGATAATAGAGGTTTAAAAGATTAAATATATATTCTTGTAGCGTCATCACCCCGTCGAAAGCTTCTCTCATGTCATGGTGACAACATTCCACAAATTTCAACATTGGGACATTTTCTTCCAATCATTAAACTTGCATAACTTCTTTGTTTCCAACCTGTTTCCTACAAACCTTATATCCACACAAAGGTGGGGATGAGATCAACAACTCCATTAAGCCACTTCTTAGTGACTTAATATGGTTCTTAATCTATTAAGTCATAAAGTTGGCCTAAAAAGCATAAAATTCACTATTATACCCTTTCGACCAAAATGCATCTTTTTTTGCATTTCTTTCTTGAACTTACTTGTCTAACCTAACCTAAGTGACTTAAACTCATCTTGGTTATTTTCATGAACACACAACTTCATAACCCTTCTAAATTCTCATAAATGATCATTTTGCCATTTTTTTTCAATATTTGATTAAAAATCAAATATTTCTAAATTTCAGGTTCTTACATTGCATGCCTACATTTTCTTGTTTTCTTGTAAAGTTGAGAACCTGAAAGGCAATGGTAATGTTATCAGGTTTAGCTGTCGAGATATAAAATATGAATTTTAAAAGTCATGAATTATATGAACTTCTTTATCTTAACAATTTAAGGTAGATTACTTATAAAATTTTAGGTGGTTTATAAATAAAGTTTATATATTACTTGTGAAGAAAATAATTAAATAAATAAAGATGGATCTAGTGACCCACCTTCCCAACATGTATACAATGACCTCTATCAAGAACTAACATCGTTCCTAAAATGGTCCCATTACAAGTTTAAAAATTGTTTTATATATTTTAAATTATATAGTTGTCTATAGAGTAGAAATGATGTGAATAATATATAATAATTAAAGAAAGAGTGGGCCTTATAGGCAATGTTTTGAAAACCGGATCGGAGACCGAACCGGTCGTCTTACCGGTTCGATGGTTCAACTGGTCAGATCGGTCTCAAAAACCGGGAAAACCGGATAATGTCATAATTATATTTAATTATATAAAAAATACAAAAAATAAAATATATATATATATATATATATATATATATATATATATATATATATATATATATATTTTAAATTTCCGGTTTTGACCGGTTTTGCTGGTTTAACCGTACCGGTTATTACCAGTTCAATCGGTTTTTACTGGTTTTCACCGGTTCAAATGAATACCGGTTTTTTGGCATTTAAGAATCGGATCCGGGACCGGTTCCCGGTTGAACCGATCGAACCGGCCGGTCCGGTCCGGTTTTCAAAACATGACTTATAGGTCTTTCTAAACTTGCAAAACTAAATCATATATGGCAATATACAACCCATTTGCAATAATACAGTGGATGGTCTTAGACGTGAAAGTTAAGTAATTAAATTCTGACTATGATAATACGTATTTAATACTTTCTAAAAGAAAGCAATAATCATATTTTCTCCATTTCCCGTATTTAAACAACATTTAACTATTCTGCACAATATTGAAGATGAGATATCATATACATACTTTTACATTATCATCAAACTATGTTTTTGTTGTGTATTATATTAGAAGTAAACAAATGCGTTAATAACAAGGATAGTAAAAAATACTATTATATTTTAGAAATAAAAGGAAAAAAATAAAACACAAACTATCTCAGTAATATAATTATATATTGCAAAAATTATTATAAACCATTTCTGATTATAATATATGACATATCTTTTATAAGAAAAACAAGAACAGTTGTGCTTATGATACAATATCTGAAACATATATTGGTATCCAATACTGTACCCAATGAAATTGCTGCAATACTGTACCCAATGAAATTGTTGCATGATCATTAACACCCAATGACAATAATGTACCCAATAAATTATTGAAATGGTTTTGTTAAAATTGCACGTTTGATTCTTTTTTTTTTTGCACTCGAATTGTTCCTGTAGTTTGATTTTATTTCGTTTTTCATTCCTAAAGTTTGGTCAAAATTACACATTTGGTCTCTAATTTTATGTATGTAAGGGACGAAAAACCAACAAAATCAAACCATATGAACAATCCGAATGTAAAAAATAAGTTAGGGACCAAACGTGTAATTCTAACCAAAGGGACCATTTCAATAATTTACTCTAATAGTAATTATTTTAAATTAACTGGGATTTAATGTGACCAATTTCAGATTCTTGAACGCCGGTATCTTTGATACAGCGGTGGGATCATCAGACCACACACTCCCGCAATCAACCACAAGAGCCGCCATGTTAGTCAGAATAAACACCCTCCTCCAAGGCTACTCCGGCATCCGATTCGAAATCTTGGAAGCCATTACAAAGTTTCTCAACCACAACATCACCCCATGCCTACCCCTTCGTGGCTCCATCACAGCCTCCGGCGACCTTGTGCCACTATCATACATTGCCGGACTCTTGACCGGCCGCCCAAATTCCAAAGCTATTGGTCCCACCGGAGAATTGATTGATGCAACCTCCGCCTTCAATCATGCCGGTATCAACACCGGTTTCTTTGACTTACAACCTAAAGAAGGACTTGCATTAGTCAACGGGACAGCTGTGGGGTCGGGGATGGCATCTGTGGTTCTTTTCGAAGCTAATATCATTGCAGTTTTGTCGGAGGTGTTATCCGCCATTTTTGCTGAAGTCATGCAAGGAAAACCCGAGTTTACTGATCATCTGACACATAAACTCAAGCATCACCCTGGCCAGATTGAAGCAGCTGCGATAATGGAACACATTTTGGATGGTAGCTCCTACGTTAAAGAAGCGAAAAGGATACACGACATAGACCCACTTCAAAAGCCAAAACAAGATCGTTATGCTCTTCGTACTTCACCACAATGGTTAGGTCCGCTTATTGAAGTGATACGTACGTCTACAAAGTCAATCGAGAGGGAGATTAATTCAGTTAATGATAACCCATTGATTGATGTGTCAAGAAATATTGCACTTCATGGAGGAAACTTTCAAGGTACCCCGATAGGTGTTTCGATGGATAATACTCGGTTAGCGATAGCATCGATAGGTAAACTCATGTTTGCTCAATTTTCGGAGCTTGTAAATGAGTTTTACAACAATGGGTTGCCATCTAATCTCTCTGGAGGACGAAATCCAAGTCTTGATTATGGATTTAAAGGAGCTGAGATTGCAATGGCAGCGTATTGTTCGGAACTACAATTCCTTGCTAACCCTGTAACCAATCACGTCCAAAGTGCTGAGCAACATAATCAAGATGTTAACTCACTCGGGTTAATCTCTTCACGTAAAACAGCTGAAGCTGTTGAGATTCTGAAATTGATGTCGACGACTTACTTGGTGGCATTATGCCAAGCAGTTGACTTGAGGCACTTGGAGGAGAACCTCAAGTCGAGTGTAAAGAATTTGGTTAGCCAAGTTGCGAAAAAGGTCTTAACCACTAGGCCTACTGGTGAGCTTCATGCATCTCGATTTTGTGAAAAAGACATGCTTACGATTGTAGATCGGGAGCATATATTTTCATACATTGATGATCCGTGTAGTGCAACTTATCCTCTCATGCAAAAGCTAAGACAAGTTATGGTTAGTCATGCACTTGCAAATGGTGAAGCGGAAATGGACTCAAGTACCTCAATCTTCCAAAAGATTGGTGCTTTCGAGGATGAACTCAAAGCCCTTTTGCCAAAAGAAGTTGAAAGCGTTAGGGTTGCTCATGAAGGTGGAAAATTGGCGATTTTTAATCGAATTGAGAAATGTAGATCGTACCCATTGTATAAATTTGTGAGAAAAGAACTTGGAACTTCTTATTTGACTGGAGAGAAGACAATGTCACCTGGAGAGGAGTTTGATAAGGTGTTCTCCGCGATATCGGCTGGAAAATTGATTGATCCATTGCTTGACTGTTTGAAGATGTGGGATGGGACTCCACTTCCTATTTCATAAGTAAATGTTAAGACTTTGAGTTATTGTTTATGAAACGACAATTTTTAATTTAAAGTTTGTAATTAGATAGAAAAATTGAGTAAAACTGTTGGATAATCGAACTGTTGTATAAAGTTTCTATTTTGTTTTTCGTTATAGTTCATGGGATGATTTATTTCGTCGATAGTATCTATTATGAGGAGTAAGTTACATGTTTAGTTCTTAACGTTTGGTTTTCATAACACCCCTGGTCCGACGATCACCAATGTGCAAATTTGGTCACTCATTCAAACCTACGTAACACTATTATCTCCTTTTCCCTCTCCATCTCCCCCCTCCACCCCCACACGCTCTCTAGTCCAATAAATGGTTCTAGAAGTCAACCATTTAATTGGTACTTATGGCGCCCCATAGCTAGTATTACAAATATACCCTAGCTTATCGGATCTCATATGAGATACAAGTCAACCATTTAGTATTAAATATCGTATCACCTACGGATTTGTATTTATTTTATTTGAAACGACAAATCTAATATACTCCTAAATCCACTTATATCATCAGTGGGAATAAAATCTTCGACCTCAAGGAGAGAGCGTAACACCCGATCGATCCACTTCTTAGACTTCATATGTGATTTCCCGACAACACTCTTCGTGCCACATACATCTTGATAGGAACCATTGAGAGCCTTGACTTCATAGGTACACCAATCGGAACCCACTAGCTACACTATACGGAATCCGCATCCCGTATGTGAAGGTTTGTTGGAATGACAAACACAGACTAGAGTTCACTTGGGAATGCGAGGACAAACCGTGTAGGAGGTACTCTCTTACCTCCGCTTGGCTATTCATACCTACTTCCTTGCCTAGACCTGAATTTTGGGACGAAATTCCCTCTAACGGGGGGATGATGTGACAACCCAAGTTGTCCCGTTACATTTTCCCCGTTACCATTAACGAAATATTCCACTGTATAAAAGTTCCGTTAATTAGAGGGCGTCAATTTAATAAACATTCCATTGGTTCACATTAATATGCCGTTAAGTCGTGATAAAAGGAAATAAAAACACATAACACACATTTCCATTTAAATGGAAAATGTTAAGTTTTATTGTTACGACCACTAAATCGGGTGCGACCAAAAGCCCCGTTTAACGGTAGTATCGGGTAAAATCCCACTGAGCCCCGACTCGGAACCCTATATAAGGATGAGTGGAGTTCATTGGAGACTTTTTACACTCTCTCTCTATACTCTCTCTCTAGACCCGTTTTCGCCCCAAATCCGCCACCAAACGCTTCCAAATCGTAAGTCTGCTTACCCTAAATTATTCTAAACATATTGATTCGTGTTTATAGCTAAAAATTCGGACTTAAAAGCTGTTAGAATGGAGTTTACGGCCTAAGCCCCTCCTTAGGCCGTAAACCCCTTAAACAAGGCCAAAATGACCCAAACTTGTCCCTAATGGCTTGGAAATAAATAGAGGAATTAGCCTAGGAGTGTTTGCACATTTAAAACAATCATTTTGGGGCATAAAAGAGAGTTTACGGCCCAAGCACTTGCTTAGGCCGTAAACACCTCTAAACTATGTCAAAATGCATCCAAAACACTCCTAAACCACCCTTAGGCTTCATACATAATTTAGGGACTTAGTATTTGGGGTTTTGATCACTTAAACACATCAAAATGAAGGGGAAAAAGGAGTTTACGGCCCAGGTATGTACCAAGGCCGTAAACTCCCCAAAACATGCCCAAATGTTGGTTTTTTCCCCCCAAATGGCCTTAGACTATTTTTATAAAATGCTAGGAATGATATAAGGGCTTAAAATCAAAGAATGATGGGTGTATGAGAGTTCACAGCCAAGCCATAGAGCTTACGGCCATAAACTCTCAAGGATTGGTCTTTTGGACCATAAACTCTAAAGGAGTGCCCTTTTGGAACCCCAAACACCCCCTATAGCCTTGAATAATTACTAGAAGTGAGTTAAGGGCTTGAAACTTCACAAAACTCAAGGAATGAGGGTTTACGGCCGTAAACTCCCTTAGGAGTTGTCCCTAGGCCGTAAACTCCTCTAAAATGCCCTTAGAAGCCTCAAACCCACTCATGCCTTTTTAGAATTGTACTTAGAAAAATCCCACTAACAAGATTAAGCTTTCAAACACACTAGATACCCTCACTATGAGTTTACGGCAGTAAACTCATGGTGAGATGTCCCTGGGCCGTAAACTATGCTTTGGGAGTTTACTCTTGGAGAGTAAACTCCATTCCTTAGCCATACACACCTTTAGACGCTACCCGGGACACCCAAACACTTAACCAAAGTGTTTTCCGCTCCTTTGAGCGCGTATATTTGTTTAATTAGTATTAAATATACTAATTGTGTATGAACATATGTTATCATATGTTAAATAGGTCATTGTGTGTGTTCAAGTCCTTGGGTGACACCGAACGCCCAAACGGAACCTTCGTCGGACCTACTTACACCAGGTGAGTTCATACCCCTGAATGAACCTTTTAAATGTTTTAACATGTTTTATAGGGGGGGGATACAAGTTAAACATGCCAGTTATCATATCAATCACATGTGATTGATAACTCGCATGCACAAGATTTAACCACTGTACACTGTTTTACCGAGTAGGGCACTATAAATGGCTTTAAAAAGGGTTTTCACTTGTTCAAGTTCTTACTTTTATTGCTTTATCAAAGTTCCATTTTCAAACCGATTTATGAAAGATTCCCAAAGATTTCTAAAGATTTTCAAACTTATTTTACCAAAGAATACCAAATGTGATTTTCCCTGAGTATAAAGGTTTTTCCAAGGTTTTCATCGAAGTTCCGTTTTAAGACGTATACTTTTACTTGTTTGTTACTGCTGCTTCGCTTTACCTATTTAAAACTCCTACTTGATAACGCTTTCACTTCCTGATACACTTATACCTGTTATTGTCTTTATTTCGCTTATACTTGTAGCCACTTATACTTGATAGACGCTTTTACTTCACCAGTTGTCGTTTCAACTTCGCAATACACTTATACTTCACGGTTCGATTATCCCACACTGTACGCTTATACTTCATGACTCGGTTATTCCACTGTACGTTTATACTTCACGACTCGGTTATTCCACTTTATGCTTATACTTCACAAGTCGGTTATTCCACACTGTACACTTATACTTCACAATATGATTCCACTTAATACACACTCAAGCGTAGTTAGATGTATGCATGTGCTGGTATATATGCATATAAATAATGATTGAAGGACTTAAGAAGGCTTGTCCACCCTATTTCCTTTTCTTCGTTGAGATGTGGTCTGGTGGGATCGGATGTCCATCCGAAGGTCGTTCGATTCATTAGTTATATATTATGTACACAAGCATAGACATATGGGTTTACTTTAGTCAGTTCAGTTATGAGTCTCTACCTCTAGTTCAACACTTACATTTGAAACACACTACCCACTATTTCGAAGTCTCTACCCACTATTTGGGATGCATCTTCAGGACATGGCCTTCTCCATCGTCTAGTTGGTAACCAGAGTCTCCTGTAGGGAGAGCGGACATTGTGTGTATAGATCTACACGGGATTGATACTCCCGCACCCTGACTGCTAGCTACAGTCCACGTCCCACCAAGCCAAGGGGTGACAAATGTCATAATTTATAGACGCTTGTATAGCGTCAGGTACTCTAGTGTCGGTTAGTATGGTTACGAGTATCCCAGGTTGCCTTATAATTCATGGCCTTAAGGTAACGGTATTTCACCGGCAGTTTACACTGTATGCTGGTAACTCATTTTCAGAGTCACACTGTTTTGACTTTGCAAGATGTATCTTTCATTGATACTGTCTGCGGTCTGTAATCTCTGTTTTGACCTTGCAAGATGTATCTTTCATTTGATACTGTCTGCGGTCTGTATTCACTGTTTTAAGACCTTACCAGCGGTACTTTTCATTTGGTACCTTCTGGGGTATGTGTCTCCATTTGTTAGACTGAACCAGGCGTGTCGTTCATTTAATGCTCTCCTGGAGTCTATGATTCCTTTGCCTTAGTCAGCAGTCCTCACTGCTGAGGCATATGTTATTTCCCTGTCGTCTCTTGCTTTCTTTAATAATCAAATTCAGTATTTTGATAATGATAGCAATTAAGGGAAAACCACTTTTTACCACATAACACTGACTAGTCTTGGTAGAAGGCTGCTTTGATTAAAGAAAATATGGGATTTTCTGGAAAGAACTCTAATACATTGTAAACACTTAAACTATTACTTTATGAAGTTATTTGAATGAAATGTTACTAAATACTTATGAACTCACCAGCATTTGTAAAAATGATGATACTCACTTTTCAAATAACTTGTATTCTCAGGTTAGCATTAGACAGGTACATCTCGGAGCTGTTGGTGAAGATAGCTTAATATTGCGCTGTATCTATTCGATTATTTGTATTACTTTGATGTATTGATGTAACCATGTAAAACTATTACTATTAATGCAATGTTTTGTTGTACTTTGATTACTATAATGCATGTGTTGTGATACTTGACATGACATCATCCACCCCAGAACATCTCTACCGTTCCGGTTTTGGGGTGTGATAGATTGGTATCAGAGCATTGTTTATAGTGAGCTAAGTATATCAATTCATAAAAGATATACAGCCTATAAATAAAAAGGGATAAAACACTCTGACCAAGAATTATACTTTAAAATATAACCATATTTTACCAAAGTATAATAACATCCAGAATCTAAACACTAGAACACAAGTATCACAAGTAGAACAATAATAAAAGTCTTCGGATGTTGAGCACTACAGTCAAACCTGGGCAGTTATGTAATCGTACGTTGGAATAAATGTAACCTGATCAACTACATTTACTCGAGACACGATGAACGTGTGCTTGGGAGTGATAGTGGTGTTGCAACGAGTTTGAAACTTACCAACTAGGAATGCTAGAGCCAAACATAAAGTCAAAATACTATAGGAGTATTTTGGAACACTAAAAGACTCATGTTAATCCCAGAATCATAATCAGAAGATAAGAAACAAACAAGAATTAAAATACCATAGGGGTATTTAGGATACATAGATAACCTTGTGTGAAGAACTAAAAGATCCTTATTGATATACCTACAACTACAGAGAGTATACTTACAA